GGTCACGTACACCACACGCTGGGGTCACGTACACCACACGCTGGGGTCACGTACACCACACGCTGGGGTCACGTACACCACACGCTGGGGTCACGTACACCACACGCTGGGGGTCACGTACACCACACGCTGGGGTCACGTACACCACACGCTGGGGGTCACGTACACCACACGCTGGGGGTCACGTACACCACACGCTGGGGGTCACGTACACCACACGCTGGGGGTCACGTACACCACACGCTGGGGGTCACGTACACCACACGCTGGGGGCCGTCCTCCTAAGGTTTTCCAAAGTCAAGAAAACGGTCAGTTTAAAGTGGTCTCTCCTAACATACCAGAGGACACAAAACAGAAAACGGGACAGTATGTTACTTTCGCCAGCCGCTTTCATTTTCTAGTACGACAATTTTTGGCCTTAGGTAACGCATACGAGCGAAAAGCAACGTTCTTTGTTGGAGGACGGGTTGTAGGAGGACGGGTTGTAGGAGGACGGGTTGTAGGAGGACGGGTTGTAGGAGGACGGGTTGTAGGAGGACGGGTTGTAGGAGGACAGGTTGTAAGAGGACAAGTTGTGGGAGGACAGGCTGTAGGAGGACAGGCTGTAGGAGGACGGGTTGTAGGACAGGTTGTAGGATGACAGGTTGTAGGAGGCCAGGCTGTAGGAGGACAGGTTGTAGGAGGACAGGTTGTAGGAGATCAGGTTGTAGGAGGACAGGCTGTAGGAGGCCAGGTTGTAGGAGGACGGGTTGTAGGAGGACGGGTTGTAGGAGGACAGGTTGTAGGACAGGTTATCGGAGGACGCTGTAGAAGGACAGGCTGAAGGAGGCCAGGTTGTAGGAGGCCAGGCTGTAGGAGGACGGGTTGTAGGAGGCCAGGCTGTAGGAGGCCAGGCTGTAGGAGGCCAGGCTGTAGGAGGCCAGGCTGCAGGAGGCCAGGCTGCAGGAGGCCAGGCTGCAGGAGGCCAGGCTGCAGGAGGCCAGGCTGCAGGAGGCCAGGCTGCAGGAGGCCAGGCTGCAGGAGGCCAGGCTGTAGGAAGGACAGGCTGTAGGAAGCCAGGCTGTAGGAGGCCAGGCTGTAGGAGGCCAGGCTGCAGGGGGCCAGGCTGCAGGGGGCCAGGCTGTAGGAGGCCAGGCTGTAGGAAGGACAGGCTGTAGGAAGGACAGGCTGTAGGAAGCCAGGCTGTAGGAGGCCAGGCTGCAGGAGGCCAGGCTGTAGGAGGCCGGGCTGTAGGAGGCCAGGCTGTAGGAGGCCAGGCTGCAGGAGGCCAGGCTGCAGGAGGCCAGGCTGTAGGAGGCCAGGCTGCAGGAGGCCAGGCTGTAGGAGGCCAGGCTGCAGGAGGCCAGGCTGTAGGAGGCCAGGCTGCAGGAGGCCAGGCTATGGTGGTACCTGGTCAGGTACAGTGTCGTGGAGGGTCTGTACTGGTGTGGGAACCCAAAGTAGATCCAGTCTTGTTCGCGTACCATCCATGTTCAACAGTTTATAATTATCTACACTGACAATTCCTCTTGAGAATTTTATAGGTAGTGATCATGTCTCCTTACTCTTCTGTCTTCCAGTGTCGTGAGGTGCATTTCCCTCAGCCTTTCCTCGTAACTCATGCCTCTTAGTTCTGGGACTAGTCTAGTGACATACCTCTGAATTTTTTCCAGCTTCGTCTTGTGCTTGACAAGGTACGGGCTCCATGCTGGGGCCGCATACTCCAGGATTGGTCTTACATACGTGGTTATCTTGAGGTTATCTTGAGATGATTTCGGGGCTTTAGTGTCCCCGCGGCCCGGTCCTCGACCAGGCCTCCACCCCCAGGAAGCAGCCCGTGACAGCTGACTTAACTCCCAGGTACCTATTTACTGCTAGGTAACAGGGGCATTCAGGGTGAAAGAAACTTTGCCCATTTGTTTCTGCCTCGTGCGGGAATCGAACCCGCGCCACAGAATTACGAGTCCTGCGCGCTATCCACCAGGCTACGAGGCCCCCTATACAAGGTTCTATACCACCTATCCAAGGTGGTATACAAGGTTCTGAATGATTCCTTACACAGGTTCCTGAAGGCAGTTCTGATGTTAGCCAGCTGATGTTATGTGGCGTGTGCGCGTGGGTGTGCGCGTGTGTATGTGCGTTCTGTGGTCCTCAGGTGACAGTGTTTCATCCAGATCCATCCCTAGAAATCTTTCTATATTTGAATTATATTAAAGCTCTATCACATAATTTGTAGGTTGTGTGTGGCCTCTTTTATCCTGTTCCCATGAACAAATTCACAAGGGCCGTGACGAGGATTCGAACTTTGTCATGCTCCCGGACGCAGGTTCGAATCCTCGTCACGGCCCTTGTGGATTTGTTCATTTGATGCATCACATTTAGTGTGATCTGTGTGTGTGATCCTGTGCCCACATTTCATAACGGGGCATTTATGCATATTAAATTCCTTTTACCAAGTGGTGCTTCAATCATTTATGTGATCCAGGGCATGACAATCATCCCGAGTCTCTTATCCATCCCTATTAGCATCTTCAGTAAACATGTTCATATAATTCCTTTTGGTAGATCGTTTATATGAAGTTAGTATTATAGACAATTGATATAAGTGGCGCTAGAACTGAACCCTGTGGTACTCCAGTGGTACACTGGAGTACCACTGGAGGACCCTGTGCTACTCCAGTGGTAACACCATTTTCTAGTCCGGTACATTGCCTCTGGTTACTGCCCTCGCTTTCCTGTTCGAAAAGTTTTCATCCATGTCATAAGTCTCCCCCGTCACTCCTCCTGCATGTTCCAGTTTCCAGAACAACCTCTTATGTCGGGCTCTGTCGAACGCCTTTTTTTAGGTCTTGATAGATGCAGTCAATCCAACTATCTCTTTCCTCTAAAGTTTCTGTGGCTCTTATCATAGAAGCTAAAGAGATTTGTTACAGGATCTTCCTGTATCATTGACTACTATTTTTTGTCAATGATACAGGTCTGTAATTAAGAGGGTCTTTAATGTTTTTGTATATATTGAAACTGTTAGTCTTTCTCCATGTCTGCCAAGATTCCTGTGCGTAAAGATGTCTGAAAAATCAGTTTAAGTGGAATGCTCAACTCAGATGCCTATTGCAGGCGATGAGTCACAATAACGTGGCTGAAGTATGTTGACCAGACCACACACTAGAAATTGAAGGGACGACGACGTTTCGGTCCGTCCTGGACCATTCTCAATCGATTGACAATCGACTTGAGAATGGTCCAGGACGGACCGAAACGTCGTCGTCCCTTCACCTTCTAGTGTGTGGTCTGGTCAACAGATGCCTATTCTCTCAGGACCCAAGGTGAAACTCCATGTGAGCCAACTGCTTTGTCTCTACTTAGTTTCTGGAGCATTTTTCCCCACTTCGTCTCCTGACACTTCTATGTACTCTGCTATTCTCTGCAATTCGTATTGTCTGGTTTCTGTTTAGGGAGCCGGTCGGCCGAGCGGACAGCACGCTGGACTTGTGATCCTGTGGCCCTGGGTTCGATCCCAGGCGCCGGCGAGAAACAATGGGCAGAGTTTCTTTCACCCTATGCCCCTGTTACCTAGCAGTAAAATAGGTACCTGGGTGTTAGTCAGCTGTCACGGGCTGCTTCCTGGGGGTGGAGGCCTGGTCGAGGACCGGGCCGCGGGGACACTAAAGCCCCGAAATCATCTCAAGATAACCTCAAGATAACCTCCCGGAAATTTCATTTTACAAACAAACAAACTTGGGAACTGTTCGTTCAGCGTTTCACACATTTCTTTGTCAGTCTCCGTAAATCTGTTCCCCATTTTCCAGCTCTGAATTTTATCCTTTACCTGGAATTTACTTTTGATGAATTTCTGGAATAGGCCTGATCCAATTTCTGGAATAGGCCTGATCCAATTTCTGGAATAGGCCTGATCCAATTTCAGAATTGTCTGCTGTCCCTTTCTCCAATTTTTGTTCTGCCACTTGTCTCATTCTGTGTAGTTGTTTCTTGCTGGTATGTTTGTGGGTTTGGTCTCTTCCTATACCTGGATCATACCTGTAGAGGATTTCCGGAGTTCATCTACTCAGTGAGCCCGGCCAGGGGCTAGGGGTTACTAATTAAAGAATTTGCCTATTGTTCTCTGGCCCTCTCACAATTCACTATCTCCAACCCACACAGAACGTCGCTTTTCGTTCGTATGCGTTACGTATGGCCACAAATTGTCGTACTACAAAATACAACAATATATTGCATAGTTGTATTTTATGCAGCGCCTATTGCCTCGTTGTTATGGAATCATATGATTTTTTTTTTTTTTTTTGGATGGGGGCGTATGTTGGTGTGAAAGGAGGGAGGGTGGTGTGTGTGTGTGTGTGTGTAATTACCTAAGTGTAATTACCTAAGTGTAGTTACAGGATGAGAGCTACGCTCGTGGTGTCCCGTCTTCCCAGCACTCTTTGTCATATAACGCTTTGAAACTACTGACGGTCTTGGCCTCCACCACCTTCTCACTTAACTTGTTCCAACCGTCTACCACTCTATTTGCGAAGGTGAATTTTCTTATATTTCTTCGGCATCTGTGTTTAGCTAGTTTAAATCTATGGCCTCTTGTTCTTGAAGTTCCAGGTCTCAGGAAGTCTTCCCTGTCGATTTTATCAATTCCTGTTACTATTTTGTACGTAGTGATCATATCACCTCTTTTTCTTCTGTCTTCTAGTTTTGGCATATTTAATGCTTCTAACCTCTCCTCGTAGCTCTTGCCCTTCAGTTCTGGGAGCCACTTAGTAGCATGTCTTTGCACCTTTTCCAGTTTGTTGATGTGCTTCTTAAGATATGGGCACCACACAACAGCTTCATATTCTAGCTTTGGCCTAACAAAAGTCATGAACAATTTCTTTTGTGTGTGTGTGTGTGTGTGTGTGTGTGTGTGTGTGTGTGTGTGTGTGTGTGTGTGTTTTAACACGCGTGTGCACGTACAGATTTTGTCACACGTGCCACTTTCATTTCTGTTGAAATGCAGTGTTGAGAGAGGGCGGAAGAGGGCGTTTAGGCCCGTGCCGCGTCACAACACGCCTCCTCCATCCATCACCCAACAATAACCAACACGGAAATATAACAGTTACAGTGAAAGAACAGACAAGTTTGGCGGGAAAGATCGCCGCCGTCCTCTCCTCAGTCTCAGTGACCAGTCCAAAGGGCGCCGGAGCCATGGAGTGGCGCTTGACTACAGTAGGGACAGGTCGGACCTGGAGTAACGCCAATGGCGACATTCTGCGCACCAGGGAGTACAAGCTCCCGCATACGGACTCCGGCCAGAACTCCCTCGAGTACTGGGACTACTCAGTTGAGCTCGAGATGCTCAAGGGCCCCGAAGGTAAGTACTGAGTGGACTGTTTTGTGGTGAGTACTGAGTGGACTGTTTTGTGGTGAGTACTGAGTGGACTGTTTTGTGGTGGAGGACTCTGGGAGGGGCCCAGATGGGTCCCGCGGGTTCTTAAGGTCACCAATGATGGCAAATTTGCCAAATTTATCATTTTTTTTAGCATCAGTTTGTGTCCAAGTTTAGCTTTTGAATGGAACACATTAATACATAATGCAGGTGTCACCCAGTTCCTCCTCCTCCTCCAGCATGGCGAGTGTATCCAGCAGGCAGTGTCTCTCTCTTTCACGAGGTGACCCCCCCCCCCCTTCACACACACACACACACACACACACACACACACACACACACACACACACACACACACACACACAATGAGCGGGAACAATGAGTCAGCGAGACTTGACCTAGTCTTCACTCTAAACGACTCTGACATAAGGGATAGCGACTTCGAGTCCCCCAGTATGAATGAGCGACCAGTGTACTGACGTTTGAGTATCTGGTTGAAGAAGGGTTAATGTACTCAAGGAAGGGACCTGAAAACAAAAGGCTGGCATTCCAGAAGGGAAACTATGAGGAGATAAGAAAATTTCTGATATAACATGGGAAACAGAGCTCAGTAGAAAGACGGGCCAAGACACGATGGACTACATCACACAGAAGTACAAGGAGGCAACAGACAAGTTCGTCCTAGTCTAAAAGGGAAAAGAATAAATTGCAGATAAGAAACCCAAATCAGAGATGTAAGCAAGCAAAGCAACTAAGTACAAGGGCGTGGAGAAACTATAGAACTAACAGAAAGGAAGATGCCAGAGAGTCAGGAATGAGTACGTCAGGGAGAGAAGAGAGGCAGAAAGACAATACGAAAATGAAATAGGGACTTCTATTATGTAAGGCAAAGACGACCTAAATTGCTGCACAGCGATATCAGGAGAAAAACAGTGAAGGAATAGGTAATAAAACTGAGGATAGGGGCAGACAAATTCACTACAAACGACAAGGAAATGTGCGAGGAACTCGATAAGAAATTCCAGGAGGTCTTCACAGTAGAGCAAGGTGAAGTCTCAGAGATAAGAAAGGGAATATCTAACCAAACACCACTAGATGAGTGTGATTACCAGAGGGGAGGTGAGGAAGCATCTGCTAGAGTTGAATGTGACAGGCTATAGGCCCAGATGGAATCTCTCCATTTATACTGAAGGAAGGAGCAAAAGCTCTGTGGCAGCCACTCTCCATAGTGTATAACAAATCACTGGTAACAGGTGAAATGCCAAAAATTTGGAAGACGGCAAATGTTGTCTTGATATACAAGAAGGGTGATAGACAGGAGGCACTGAACTACAGGCTAGTGTCCTTGACTTGCATAATATGTAAGATGACAGAGAAGATTGTGCGAAAAAAAAGTTAGTGGAACATCTGGGGCGAAAGAACTTTGTGACACAACACCAACATGGGTTTAGTGTTGGCAAATTATACCTCACCGGATTGATTGAATTCTATGACCAGGCAACAAAAATCAGGCAAGAAAGAGAGTGGTGGACAGCCTGCATATTTTTGGATTGCCAGAAAGCCTTTGACACAGTACCACATAAGAGACTAGTGCACAAGCTGGAGATGCAGGCAGGAGTGAAAGGGAAGGTACTCACTGGATAAGGGAGTGCCTAAGCAATAGAAGACAACGAGTCACTGTGAGGGGTGAGGTCTCAGAGTGGCGAGGCGTCACCAGTGGAGTCCCACAGGGATCAGTTCTTGGACCTATACTGTTTCTGATATATGTAAATGATCTTCCAGAGGGTATAGACTGTCATCTCAGTTTGCTGATGATGCAAAAATTATGAGGAGGATTAAGACAGAAAAAGACAGTATGAGGCTACAAAATGACCTAGACAAGCTGAAGGAATGGTGCAACAAATAGCTACTAAAGTTCAACCCGAGTAAACGTTAGGTAATGAAACTAGGAGCAGGAAATAGGAGACCAGACACGGGATACAGAATGGGAGATGAAGTCCTTCATGAAACGGACAGAGAGAAAGATCTAGGAGTTGATATCACGCCAAACCTGTCTCCTGAAGCCCACATCAAAAGAATAACATCTGCGGCATATGCGAGGCTGGCTAACATCAGAACTGCCTTCAGGAACCTGTGTAAGGAATCATTCAGAACCTTGTATACCACATATGTAAGACCAATCCTGGAGTATGCGGCCCCAGCATGGAGCCCGTACCTTGTCAAGCACAAGACGAAGCTGGAAAAAGTTCAGAGGTATGCCACTAGGCTAGTCCCAGAACAAGGAGGCATGAGTTACGAGGAAAGGCTGCATGAACTGCACCTCACGTCGCTGGAAGACAAGAACTCGGGGAGACATGATCACCACATACAAACTTCTCAGAGGAATTGACAGAGTAGACAAGGAATGATTATTTAACACGGGTGGTACACGAGCAAGGGGACACAGGTAGAAGCTGAGTACCCAAATGAGCCACAGGGACGTTAGAAAGATTTTTGTCAGTGTCAGAGTAGTTAACAGATGGAATGCACTAGGAAGTGATGTGGTGGAGGCTGACTCCATACACAGTTTCAAATGTAGATATGATAGAGCCCAGTAGGCTCAGGAACCTGTACACCAGTTGATTGACAGTTGAGAGGCGGGACCAAAGAGCCAGAGCTCAACCCCCGCCCCTCACACCCTAGGTGAGTACACTCATCACCACCTCAGTCATCGTCATCACCACCTCAGTCATCGTCATCACCACCTCAGTCATCGTCATCACCACCTCAGTCATCGTCATCACCACCTCAGTCATCGTCATCACCACCTCAGTCATCGTCATCACCACCTCAGTCATCGTCATCACCACCTCAGTCATCGTCATCACCACCTCAGTCATCGTCATCACCACCCCAGTCATCGTCATCACCACCGCAGTCATCGTCATCACCACCCCAGTCAGCGTCATCACCACCCCAGTCATCGTCATCACCACCCCCAGTCATCGTCATCACCACCCCAGTCATCGTCATCACCACCCCAGTCATCGTCATCACCACCCCAGTCATCGTCATCACCACCCCAGTCATCATCACCACCCCAGTCATCGTCATCACCACCCCAGTCATCGTCATCACCACCCCAGTCATCGTCATCACCACCCCAGTCATCGTCATCACCACCCCAGTCATCGTCATCACCACCTCAGTCATCGTCATCACCACCCCAGTCATCGTCATCACCACCTCAGTCATCGTCATCACCACCTCAGTCATCGTCATCACCACCTCAGTCATCATCACCACTTCAGTCATCGTCATCACCACCTCAGTCATCGTCATCACCACTTCAGTCATCGTCATCACCTCAGTCATCGTCATCACCACCTCAGTCATCGTCATCACCACCTCAGTCATCGTCATCACCACCTCAGTCATCGTCATCACCACCTCAGTCATCGTCATCACCACCTCAGTCATCGTCATCACCACCTCAGTCATCGTCATCACCACCTCAGTCATCGTCATCACCACCTCAGTCATCGTCATCACCACCTCAGTCATCGTCATCACCACCTCAGTCATCGTCATCACCACCTCAGTCATCGTCATCACCACCTCAGTCATCGTCATCACCACCTCAGTCATCGTCATCACCACCTCAGTCATCGTCATCACCACCTCAGTCATCGTCATCACCACCTCAGTCATCGTCATCACCACCTCAGTCATCGTCATCACCACCTCAGTCATCGTCATCACCACCTCAGTCATCGTCATCACCACCCCAGTCATCGTCATCACCACCCCAGTCATCGTCATCACCACCCCAGTCATCGTCATCACCACCCCAGTCATCGTCATCACCACCCCAGTCATCGTCATCACCACCCCAGTCATCGTCACCACCACCCCAGTCATCGTCATCACCACCCCAGTCATCGTCATCACCACCCCAGTCATCGTCATCACCACCCCAGTCATCGTCATCACCACCCCAGTCATCGTCATCACCACCCCAGTCATCGTCATCACCACCCCAGTCATCGTCATCACCACCTCAGTCATCGTCATCACCACCTCAGTCATCGTCATCACCACCTCAGTCATCGTCATCACCACCTCAGTCATCGTCATCACCACCTCAGTCATCGTCATCACCACCTCAGTCATCGTCATCACCACATCAGTCATCGTCATCACCACCTCAGTCATCGTCATCACCACCTCAGTCATCGTCATCACCACCTCAGTCATCGTCATCACCACCTCAGTCATCGTCATCACCACCCCAGTCATCGTCATCACCACCTCAGTCATCGTCATCACCACCCCAGTCATCGTCATCACCACCCCAGTCATCGTCATCACCACCCCAGTCATCGTCATCACCACCTCAGTCATCGTCATCACCACCTCAGTCATCGTCATCACCACCTCAGTCATCGTCATCACCACCCCAGTCATCGTCATCACCACCTCAGTCATCATCACCACCCCAGTCATCGTCATCACCACCCCAGTCATCGTCATCACCACCTCAGTCATCGTCATCACCACATCAGTCATCGTCATCACCACCTCAGTCATCGTCATCACCACCTCAGTCATCGTCATCACCACATCAGTCATCGTCATCACCACATCAGTCATCGTCATCACCACCTCAGTCATCGTCATCACCACCTCAGTCATCGTCATCACCACCTCAGTCATCGTCATCACCACCTCAGTCATCGTCATCACCACCTCAGTCATCGTCATCACCACCTCAGTCATCGTCATCACCACCCCAGTCATCGTCATCACCACCTCAGTCATCGTCACCACCCCAGTCATCGTCATCACCACCCCAGTCATCGTCATCACCACCTCAGTCATCGTCATCACCACATCAGTCATCGTCATCACCACCTCAGTCATCGTCATCACCACCTCAGTCATCGTCATCACCACTCAGTCATCGTCATCACCACATCAGTCATCGTCATCACCACCTCAGTCAT